ATGGATCTTTAAATCAAGCCCAGATTTCCCATGTGCTATTCAAAAATATGTTTCAATAAGGAGACTATCCTGTTCCTGTATGATACTCTCTGGATTCGATCAACTGTGTAGTTATTATTTTTGAACAGAAGAAACTCTTTTGTGAATATACTAGCACGTTTCAGTTAGATTTTTATTGATTTTCATTTGACTTCAAAATTCTCTAAACAATCTATCTTTCTCTTCTATTTCACTCCTTGCATTAGAACCATGTAATGATTTTTCAGCACTGACCGTTTGAAAACTTTGTCCGGTTCACCACGTGAAAAGATGCAGATACGAAGCGCTGTTTCCAATCATGCAATTACCCAAGTACACGTCGGGCTGCGTGTCTCTTATAAGTTTACGCCTAACATTTGTTAAACAGAAAACACGACAAATAGCGTGACTGCAGAACTACAATCACGTTCTTCTGACACAATACAAATTGACCTCCGGAAGCGGAAAAAATCTAAAATAAAATTTTGCCAATCGGTCCAAACGAATTCCGTTTACACTGATATTGCGAGGTGAGCAGAAAAAAGACAGTGGGATATAGGGTGGGTTCTTCCTCATCAGATATTCCGAAGTTCACTAAGTTTCGTAATACATGAATGAGTTACCCTCATAAGATGGTCAAAATCTATCATGATTCAAACAATTTTGTAATCTAATCAGCCAAATACAAAAAAATTCATGGTGCACCAGTTATCAAGCAATTAAATCTAATGCATTCGTCGACATTTTTTTCAGAAACGAATTATTTATTACTACTAGACATCTCCCGAAAGCAAGTATCACGTGATTTACCCAAAACCATTCGCATACCCATTATACATAATCATTTCCAGTACTAACTTTGTGTCGAGAACAACAAGGAACCAAAAGTCGACATTTTCTTCCAAACAGTGCAAGCGGAGATTGATTAAAAATACCGATTCTGATTGCGTTATCTCCGCTTGAACATTTTGAATCGTTCAAATTCAATACTGCGATGTTTACGTATTCTTCTACTATGGATAACGCCAATATAGAAATTTGAAAAAAATTAAAACCAATAGATCGAAACAGCCAATATTTTTTGTGTAGGGTTTTCAAGCATAAGAAACGCACGTAACATTTTCATCCTCTTTCCATTCTCTAATGACAGCTTTACGGAGCCACCTTCCCGTTGTGCAGCAATGTTTCCTTTTTCGACATGAACAGTTTTTTCTATCAAGCTTCATTTTTTAAATCTTTTCTATATCAAATAAACCTATATACTTTCATATCTGCTACCAAGTTTCCTAAGATAGAAAAAAGAAATACCCTGCCAGAAGGTGCTCCACTAATCGCGAATCGAGAGATTCGTTTCACATGCACTCACACACAGCCACACCCGCGGTTGCACACGTGCTTAGGATTAGTGTACGGGCTATTTCGCGACCCGTCAAAATACGAGAAATGTCTATCATTGCTCGCGTAGTGACAGTTCACACAAAATTCCACTCACGTCTGTCTTGCGTGCGGCCGTTCAGAACGAGACTAGGGTAGTCTCGAGATTCGCTAACCCAGGCCTACAGCGCTTACGACTAAGGGATCGGTACATTCAGCCATGTGCGTAGATTGCACACTCGCGTTCAATCAACAATGACAGTTGACAATCGATAACTTTATAATAATTATTTGGGTTGACCTAGTAGATATGTTTTAGGACTTTCTCAACTCCTGGGTTAAAACTACGCGACCTAGACCGAATACCTTCCATATGAACCAACTGAGACGCATTATAACCAAATGTTGTCCAGTCGCAACCTAGGATCAGTAGATTTGTAAGCTTTTTTCCAAGTTCGGTCCATTATAACATTTGTCTGCACGATACATGCAACCCAGGTTATTAGTAGCCCTTACTATTGAAAAGAGATTCAGTGGTTTCTTATCTACTTCACAAGTGAAACATTTATTCACGTGACCGTCGATTAGGTTTTGGGGGAACTGAATCAACCTTAAACCAAGTACGACCGAGTTAAACTAGAACACACTCAAAAAGACACAGCCAGACACCCATGTTTTCTACCTGCAAGGCAGACAGTAAAGTTTGTGTGAACACCCGCTAAAATAATGAGAGCGGAAGCTTTCCAGACTAGAGGTACCTTACAGGAAACGATCACAGTCAGAAGCGCTGCAAAACTTATCATTGCGCTCGATGGTTAATTTATTTTTACCAAACCAATTTTAGGGAGAATGGGTGCAGGTTTTCAAAACTGGATTATATGAGATCAAAAGTCATTGCTTTGACACATTAAGAAACATCTCGTAGGTAGTCATTCCTTCGATGGTGAATGTTTTTATTCTTACGTGTTCTGTAGACCGGGAGTTCTAAGATACAACTGTCAATACGACAATTATCCTTACATGGATACTACCAAAAACTGTACTTCTTGTATCTGATCGAAAAGATTCGCTTCTTTGAATGATTTATTGAGCCTTTATGTAGAATAAACGTATCTTCCATAGCACTTTCACTGATTCCTCTTGAGGGGATGACAACCGACTTTGAAAAGAACTTGATTTTTCTCTCTCTGTATCTTTCGATTTGAAATTTATTTATGCCAAAAAGTGAACATTTAAATCCATCTGGCAGCGATTGAAATCCCGAATTTATTCAATTAGCTTGGTCAACCAAACAACGAAAACGCCATTTCATTAACATTATCCGTTACTAAGAGTTTCCATACGTGGTTGTTTTGCCATCCATTTTCGGTTACAAGGTACCCTGCAAAATAAGCTCATTAGTGTTCACATTGGAAATATTATAAGTTGCGTTCCCTATCATCGGCGAAATTCACTTTTTTCTGTCAAAGCAAATAAAATCAAACAAAAGTGACGTTGTCCGCAATTGCTAAACTCCGCAACGTCTTTCATGCATACCTGTTTACCATCAGATCTCATGCAGTTCGTTCAATTTCCATGTCGTTTAGTAGTTAGCTACGGTTCTCAAAGAGTTACTCTCTTTTGCCACTACATCAATGGGTAGCTGAATGGACACTCAAGCCGCGGAATACAAAGTGATTTTTTATTGATTTGAGCTGACTATCCGTCGGACTTCATTTTCGCGCACGCTCCTCAGTTTATCGATTCAACCATTCTCTGGGAAGTACTACACTCCACTTTCGCTCTTTTTAGAGTTCATCAGAAGTGCATATTCACCGTCTCGTCCGGGATTCAAACTCCGAACCCATCGCATGGAATGCGTGTGCGTTACCACTGTTCCATTCATACCGTGGCTGAACCAAATTGCCAATTTATGTTTGTTCAGGTGTCGTCTTCAGTGATAATCGGTTCATTTAATCCAACAGCAACGAAGGGAAACACATGTGACATAGCGTTGACTCCAATCTAAAGCCTCTCACCAAGTCACGACTTCCATACAGCTATGGACCGATTTGCCAACGAACGTAAACGGCTGGATTGATGTCAAGTATTTGACTCACAATGACTGGTGAGGAGTGGTGTGGGATATGTGATTACAGGAAAATTCACGCGTCATGAGTGTGCAAACTGTAATGAAATGAACTCACTACGAAAATATTCAATATTTCACCGGGCTCTTCAAGGAAAATCACCATTTGTTACCGATTTGGGATGATGACTAATCACATCCTACGTAATTAAAAACGTTCAGCACAATTAGTATACCTTAAATTTGAATGATCGGAACTTACCTTTCACTGATAATAAACACCTTTTGCAGCATGGCTGTTGGTATTCCTTGGTGTATGAGCGATGGAACCTCTTTCGATTTTTCTGTGCTTCTTGAGTGTTCTAAAGTTGGAATTCACTCTGATGTAGTACATTCAATATTTTTCAAACGAATTTGCAAACAATCGCTTTTAGTTCCTTACGGTCACTGGTTATGCAATCATAAATTTGGAATGGAGGCTGTAACCACATAATGGTTACCTGCAGACAGGAACATGTGCCGAGGCTGAGTGTTTCTCTCGTAATTCGAATATACACGGATGAAATTTGATAAACTTGCTCATTACACGCCTGACAAACGGGTTCGGGGTGCTGCATTGTGCAAGATATTTGAATGAGGTAAAAGCGGATATTGCACCAAGAGAAATGAAGTTACATTTGAAACCAAAGAGCTATCCATTGCGGATATGTTTGCCAGTTTTCTGGCTCCATGAAGAAAAACCATGGTATTCTATCGCCATTATTGTGGAAGTCATATAACCAACAAATATGTGATTTCGATCGTTCCCACTGAAGGAATGTTTCTGATGTGAACTATCAGGAGTGACCGGTTGGAAAACGTGAAAGGCGGTCAATCTAAGACCTGGCTTGAGGGTATGAAAACTGTGACCAGAAAACTGGCTCACATAGGTCCCATTAGTCTCCCGGGCTGGGGACCCAGAGATCATAGTCACCGGTAGTTAGAGACATTGAGCGATATGGCTGGGTGTCGCAAACAGTGGCGCTGATGCATCTGCTCATTATTCTTGTAACTTCAGTCTATGAAAATGTGCTATCTTCCGCTTGAATCTGCTCCCAACCTTCTAATCATCATTCTGCTGTTTTATCCAAATGGACAACCAAAAAACAGCAACCAAAACCGGAGCACGATAGTGCATCTTTAATTGTTGTAAGAACTGAACTTATCAGCCCCGGGTATGTTATGATTATACACGTAAACCACTAGAGTGACTGGGCTTCTGACGGATACCTGATTGCTGTTTAACGCACGTCCTAAATTCTTTATCGAAAAATACAACCATTTTAGCCAACATCCTAAACAAGTTGTTGAAAACACGTTTTGATGTCTATATTCTCCAGAGACCAAAAAGTAATAGGGTGAGCGTTTTCATATTTCAAATATTGTTTTGTATATGTATGAGGCATTTGTGTATTTGCTTTCCACATGAGCTCCCCCCCCCCACCCCGAGTCATGTTTCCAATGCATACCAATTTGAACTCTCCTTGTTGTCGTATCTCAGGTAATAGCGTTCGATGGAGGCAAACCAGTGGCATTAAATTCGACGGCTGAAGTTGAGGTTCTCCTAGAGGATGTGAACGATTGTACCCCACAGTTTTTGCAACGACAATACAATTTCAGTATAGAGGAAGACTACGCGCAAAATTTCACCACTGGACGTTGGGTCGGGCAAGTTAAAGCAGTCGACTGTGACCTCGGACTGAACGGGGCGATCAGTTATATGATACTCGATCCCGGTCTGCCGTTCGAAGTGAGTCATCCACGTTACTATACCAAATTAAATGTGACAGAGTTCTGTTTGGTAT